TGGATTACAAAAATTACTATAATGGAATACAAAAAAAACAAAAAATTCGATCATGGATTACAAAAAAAAAAACAATTCGATCATGGATTAAAAAAAAATACGATCAAGTATTACAAAAAATCTATCATGGATTACAAAAAAAAAAAAAAAATTCCGTACAGGACTTACCGATTCAATGTACGGACTCGCTGATTCCGAACCGGCGAGTCACTGTACAGAATCGTACGGTTCTCTCTAGAACCGGACGATTCCCTTTTTTTTCGCCGATTCGATCCGTCTATGGCAATTTTCGAGTCGAATTGGGCGAGTCCGGTTCAACTCGGCGTTTTTTTAAACACTGCTTCAAAGTGATAATGTGTCAAGGCTGTACATACTCTAATACGGACTCGGCCGCATCATCCATTTAATTGGACAACGTTGATCAACTCTTTCCTACCATTGATGACTGGGTCTCATCTACGCTATTTACAGTTCTACACAATGCATGTGTATCCATGATTGGTTCACTTCTTCACCTGCTAGACAATGCATATGTGCAAGTATTAAGCCCATAAACTAACTAAATCCAATTTTTATTTAAGGATTGCGTACGAACATTTGTTATTGGTACACTGAGGTTACAATCATTTTTAGCTATTGAATGTGAAATTCAATAGATTGGTGTGTGTCATTTAGAGAAATACCATTTTGGATTTTATGCTCAATCAATGATACATCTTCAACTACCCAAATTCACATCCAATAGCCATTAATGATTGTGACCTCCTTGTATAAAAATAAATGGCTTCATTGTATATATTTCTTTTTCACTTATTTTATCTTATTACAGGTTATGTTATGGTGCTCACATTATAGAATAATTTATCATTATATTCAACGAAATTTGGACACTTATATGCGTTTGTTTTGTACATTGAGGTTTTTTTTAATAATGGTATTTTTGGTCATTAAGAGGGATGTAACATCACCCACATAGAGCATTGAATGCCACTAATTGGCTCCATATGGGTGATGTCACACTTCATGTGAATGCCATCATACCGCTCCTAATGACCAAAAATATCTTTTTTAAAAAATGTTCCATATACAAAACAAAGATATATAAGTATTCAAACTTTATTGAGTACAATGATAAATTACTCCAAAGTGTGAGCACCTAACATAACTCATTGCTTAAAATGAAGTAAAAATAATATTTAGAAAAGATAAGCTTATATACAAAGGAAATGTATACAATGATATAAGGAAGTCACAATCATCATTGACCCTTAGATTTGAAATTGGGTGGTTGAATATGTGTCAATGTTTGGGTATAAAGTCTAAATTAAAATTTCTTAAATGTTATAAGTCACTTTCATTTATTGGACTTCACATCCAATAGCTAAAAGTAATTGTGACTTTCTAGTACCAAAAATAAATGATCTCATACTATACAATCCCATATGTAAAACTACTTATAAGTTCATCTCAAATAACTTTATGATGGATACTACCAAATAATAAATAATTCATTATCCAGATTAATTTTATTTAAATACTAAATTATGAAGACCTGAACTAATGCAAGAAAAAGCTCAAAGCAAAATCTATGTATTATTCAAACCTTCCAAAAAAATTTGCTCCTTAGCGACTTTCTACCTTAACTTGTGCGGTCGGTTTGAGCAAATATACTATGCACCATTAGGATGATATTATGGTTAAAGACCTACTTGATAGGGTTTTTCCAAAATGAAAATTATTGTTACTTAAAAATAAAAGTTTTCCTTTTATTAATATTTCTCATCCTTGAAAAATTGGATGTTCTCTATTTAATCTTGCGATGCGATGTTATCTTTTTCAGGAACATACAAAAGGTGATTGGATTATTTTTCTTTTTCTTTTTCTCTTTCTTTTTTCTTTTAAAAGGCAAATCTCTAAGTTGTTGAGTTCACATATCCAAAATTTGGGATCCTAAAAATACTCCTACATTGAGTTTGACCCAAGGGAGTAAGTGACAGTATGATCCCATTAGAGCACGAAACCTTTTGGCATGGATAAAAGTAGACCAAAATAACTCAAGGATGTAATTGACTAAAAAAAACCTTGTTTTGACAATAAATGATGAAAGCAAAGTACTATTTTTTCGTGGGATTGTATACAATGAGATCATTTACTTTTTATACAAGTTGATGACAATTATGTACAACCATCCCATGTGAAATATGATAGTTTGGGTGTGTCATAAAGTTCGAAAAATTTCCTTTGAAGTTTGAACTTGGTGAATGCAATAAATGCAGCCATCTAACTTCATATCCTATGGTTAAGCTTAATTGTGACCACTTTGTATTAAAGATAAATGATCTCATTGTATATTATTTCGTTTTTTCTTAGCTTGTGGTTTCTACAAGGTCTAGGCTATATAGAAAAAATGGAAATCCTCATCTTGAGGGAAAAAAATCGAGTATGGAAACCCCCATGATGGCTCTAAAATATATTTCTACTACTTATTATTGAAAATTATAGCTCAAAAAATGGTGCAAATCTTGTAGTTATATGAAGTTGTGAAAATGGACGGTCTAGATAATGTGTAGCAATATACACTTTTTCTAAGGCTTGAAATCCTATTTTTTTTTTTCATATTCATAATGGTCAAGATCGAGATGCTCAATGACTCCGGAATTACAATTTTTGGTGAGATTTGAGACACTGCTTTACTTTTTTTTTATTTTAACCTTTTCCAAAGGAAGGATGTGGGTGAAAAAAATTGTTTGGAATTTAGGTATACCATTTTAAATTAGAAATTTGGAATCTTATCTTTTGTGACATAGCATACCATACTTCCTTTTTTCCTGTTCATCGATAAGTAAAAGCAAATAAAGGTCGACTCCATAGCCTTTTAGAAAGGAAAAATAGATTAATCCTTTTAATGGAAAAGCATACCATGCTTACCAAATGCTATATGAGATCAATTATACATCAAATTTTGTCCGAATTACACACGCTAATTACTTGGCTAAGAGATCCAACTCCAAAACATAGATGTATTTGGTTAATTAAACTAG